CTGTTCAACATTTGGTCTATGATCTTTAATTAAATAATTAAATAAATATGAATATAACCTTTAGTAAATGCTAATAGTTGTCCATCATTTGAAATAATTATTTCACGAGAATTGCCAACATTAATTAAATAAATAAATAAAGGTCCAATTAAAGATATTATCTAAATATATTTTGAAAAAAAAGAATTAAATAATAAATAATTAAATAAATAAATATACAGAAATAGATCCACTTTGATCATTAACTAAATAAGATAATTGTTTATCTAATTGAAGAAATTTATTTTTAATTAAATAATTTAATTCATTTATATTATATTGACATTTATTAATTAATTCATTATTATGATTTATTCCAATTTTATTAAATAGATCAATTAAATATTCATCAAGAAGATTAGATGCATTTTTTTGCTGTATCATTTCCTAAGAAAAAAAATTAGAAAAAAATTTATTTTAAATAAAATAAATATTTGAAAATCACTTTGTCCATCAAAAATAGCAAAATAAGACCAAAGTTTCCATTTTTGATCATCAATAGGAAGTAAATGTTTATGAAAATCTTCATTTGATATTCTCCATCCTTGTATTCCAGCAAAAGCAAATGATTGACCATTATACAATTCTTTTCTTGTATTTGGATTATTTAAAAAAAGACTTTTTTTTTTTTATTTTACCATCATTTTCTCTCTGAAACATATTCTTAACGAAAAAGAAATTATTCTCAAAATGAATATTTTTTATATTTACTCAATATTAAATTAGATCGCAACTTTCAGACACACTCTTTCATTTGATGTGTTTTTTTGTTATATTTCCTTGCACTCTTTAACCCACAAATAGGATATGTGATCAAATAGTTTTTTTTAACTCGGACTCTTCGTGTGATTTTAAAGGCATACGTGTTTTTTCTTTTTCTTGTTCTTCTATAACATAATTATCTATTTGTTCTTTGATATATTCATGTAAACAAATCTGTTTATAGTGAAAATTTATTTTCAACGTTGCTCTCCTCTTATATAAAATAAATATTTCATAATCATGCTTATTTCTAAGATCTTTACCAGATGAGATGCATTTTTCAATCAGTTTTTTAAAGTCTTGACAGGTGAACTTATATCAAATTCATGCCATTTTATTTATTCAATATTTCGATTTTTTTTCTTATAATAGAAAAAAAAAATATATATATATATATATATCCATATTGTCCGACAAAATCCAACCCCTCACTTCCACGCAGTGTCGGATGTAAACGTCAATGTTGACGGCTAAGATGGGCTCTGGTAGAGATCTCAGGGCTAGTCACCCGAGATATCTTTTACAATGACTCCGACAATAATAATAGAAGAACCCATTCCGGGCAACAGTCTCTCGCCTCGTCGCCAGCAAACGGAGATTTCAAAGAAATCTACGACTATGATAAGGCAGTCACCTGTCTTTGACATTGCAACGACGAGACAAACCAAAAACAAAAAAGTCAAAAACAAAACACTCCAAAAGGCCATCACAATATCCACCTACAACGTTCGCACTCTCAAAAGACTTGGAAAACTACCCCAACTCATTAATGGATGCGACAACAACAACGTTGACCTAGTAGCTGTACAAGAACATGGTTGGCAAACATATGGACAAACCGGCACATATACTGAAACATGAAATAATTCGACATGGCGCTTCGAATACTCTTCAGCAACATCAACAGGACAAGGTGGCGTTGGATTACTCATGAATCCTCAATTCTCTGCACTACATGATTCAACGGAAAAAATATCAGACCGCATCTTAATGGTACATTTCAAAAGCAATCCTGCAATAACATACAAACAAAATACGACATCTTCATAGAAAGCATACAACACACAACAGAAAACCTAATCG